AGACCCTAAAGAATCATATCAACTTGTGGAAAATGGGCATCCTATGACCCCTTTAAAGAACCTTTTGTACAATGAAAAGGTTCTATGGAAGTAAAAGGTTCTTAATGGAACCATAGATGGCAAAAAACAAACAAACAAAATAAAAACAACAACTTTATTTTTTAGAGAAAGAAAGTACGTTACCTGTGCCTCCTCGTGTGCGAAGCGTTCCTTGCTGTGTTGATGTGTTGACCCCTCCGAAGACTGTCACGCCCTGCGTGATCCCAGCACCATGGAAGTTGTTGTAGTTGGGAATAGTGGTGACCCCAGTGACCCCACTGAAGCTGGGGTAATGCTGTGGTGTGGGGTCGACGCCGCATTGATAACCTACTCCGCTCTGAGACAAGCTGGTGTCCCGGTCCTCAGTTAACTTAGCAGCCTCTTTGTCCTTACATTGCACACAGCCCATCCTCTATGATCTGACAGAGGAATAAACCACCCCTGTGAAGATGAACTACCCTTTAGAATAAGTGTGAACTGAATGTAATGAATAAATGTCTAAAACATAACATTTTAAGGTTTCAACTTAAGATTTTACCTACATTTACAATTACAATTTACCTCAATACAATTAAATGCACTTTTTTCACAAGGTAACAACAGATAAAAACTGTCCAAAATTTCACAAAATTTCTTTATTTTTGTATATAAAGAACTAACTTAACACAAAAAAAATGTAATTAAGAAGGATAAACTAACTCCCTCTTTTTGGCTCAGCAAGCTCCTCTTTTGGGGAGCGCAGGAAATTCACTCACTAAAGCACTATAGACACATGCAGAGAGAGTGTGTGTGTGTGTGTGTGTGTGTGTGTGTGAATGTGTGGGAGAGTTCTTCCGTTCATCAGTACAGGATTTTAAAACTGCGCTCGGACGTTCTGCCCATGATCCATCAACTGCACAACAGCTGACAGACAATAAACTCCCATCAGGAAACTTCAAGATCTCTTATCCTCCCTCCAGAAGATCCTCACAGTGAAATACAGAGAACGAAGACCTTTGTGAAATGGAAGTGTTCTTAATTCTATTGAATGAGCACTTGTAGTGTACTTCAAATCTTAAAAATATATATAAAAACAAAACAAAAAAAAACTGTACTTGCAGATAATATTAAATAAATAAAAGGCCACTTAAGTACAAAGTTTATTATTATTATTATAGGTACTCTTTTTAAATGTATGTTAAAGTGTACTTTTTCACAAGGGGAGAGAAGACAACATACGGAAAGGAAGGAGAGTAATTTACCAAAACCGAAATTTTACTTAAAAAAAAAAAAGTTTTTGTGCTCTTTAAAATTAAGTCATTTGGTTTGATATTTTGTTATCTATTGCAATGACAGTCAGACAATAATAAATTAAGAGTCCAAATACTTTTTAGTGACACTATATATATTAGTACTGCTGACAGCAGTTGCTTTGACACAATCTGTATTGTTAAAAGCGCTATATAAATAAAGGTGACTTGACTTGACAGTATATAGTAATATCAATAAACACTAAGAAAAAAACAACAACTTTGCTTGTATTTTACAAGGTTAAATATTCTGTTAATTTAAGAAAAAATAGCTGATATTTACAAAACAGAAGTGTGGATGGAGTCTGTGCATTAAGCGATTGCAAACAGTGTCAAATTCAAGAAACATACAGCAGAGTCACATTTATGGGATATATTCTTATGTTAGAGTCTAGACTGCCCAGTGCAATAACAAAGATTCAAGCACTAACTCCATCCAGCTGGACAGAAATTAATATGGATTTTTTTTAAAGGACAGCCTGTACTGACAATTTTTTATGAACAAGATGACTGGACAAAATCATTGCTTGTTTTTGAGAGAGAGATAAATGATTAGGTGTTTATGTGTGTGTGTGTGTGTATATGAATGTGAAAGCCTGCTATAATATCTAGGAAGAAGATATGAGGGAGATGAAGGGGAAAGTAAAGCGTTTAAGGTTGATTAGTAGTAATCACACCGACTCAGAGCTGCTTATCATTTAAGGCATCATCAAATAAGACATCACACCTTTTCTAACCAGCAAAGCAAACGTGGACGAGTTTGAATCAGTTCTGTATCAGATTTAGATCAGCAAAGAAATGATTTCAGATTTTAAATTGAATTGATGTTCTTCATTGCTCTGGCAACACTCCAAATTTCAATAGTTGCGCCAAAAGTGAGAACACGAGGATCTCAAGTGTTCTTAGTTACGACAGGAGCTGCTCATCTTCAGCTGTATCTCACAAACACACACAATGAAAGACAGCATGAGAAAAACTCACTGGGTCACTTTGGACCCCCCCTGGCCTGGTTTTCTCTCTTTTCCCTTTCCATTTCTCTCAGTTTCTCAGTGAGATGGGCCCCTGCCCCAGCATGTCTCCTGTCCTCTCGCTATTCTGCAAATCCACAAAGCTCTCTTTCCATATCTTTAATATTCGTCTACCGCTGCCATGAATAATTCATGCCTTTCTTGCCCTTAAGCAGAACCATCTGCAGGCTGGCATTGGGTGTTAACTTGGGTTCAGCCCACTGATCTATTTAATGACTGGATTGCTCATTGCCACCGGAAATGTTCGAGCCGCCATCTTACTATTCCCTACCGGCAGAGAGCATCATCGACTAACAGCCAAAACACTGACCTAAAATCACTCGATTTGAAGCGCATCAGTCACACAGGATTAGTTTTTAGGATATGTGTATGTGAATTAGTTACTTCAGATATTATCTCCAATGTTTATGGTCTTTTCGGGCAGGATAAGCGATATATTGAAATCGTTAAGGTGGGTGTGTCTGCTGCGCACTTGTCAACACAGTTACTGTAACTGATCCAACACAATATATTTTTATGTACTGTATGTAATTATGCAAGAAATATTAAACATGAATATATTTCTGGTATTATTATCAGAAACTTACTATTAATATTATCCTCTTATTAGCCTCTTACTATATTCAAAGCTTACCATGCATCAAATAAAGCTTCATGTCTTTAAAGGGATAGTTCACCCAAAAATGAAAATTCTGTCATTAATTACTCACCTTCATGTCGTTCCAAACCCGTAAGACCTTCGTTCATCTTCGGAACACGAATTAAGATATTTTTGGTGAAATGTGAGAGCTCTCAGACCCTGCATAGACAGCAACACAACCGAAACGTTCCCAGGTCCAGAAACGTAGTAAGGACATCGGTAAAACAGTCCATGTGACATCAGTGGCTCAACTTCAGTTTTGCGAAGCTACGAGAATACTTTTTGAGCGCAAAGAAAACAAAAATAACATAATTTATTCAACAATTCTTCTCCCCCGAGTTATGTCTTCCATCATTTTAGAGTATCACAACACATTTTCCCCCAAACGTAAACAACGCTGATTATGTTGATTACGCTCTTGGGTACTCTCCAAAATGGCGGAAGACATAACTCTGGGGAGAAGAATTGTAAGAAAGAACAGGGATACTTCAGATATAAAAACGCTGACTCGTTAGGTGATGTTTTCACATTAAAATCGTACGTTTTCCTGTTAATTCAATAGAATGTATGGGAATTCTAGGGAATACCAATATGGCGGTGCGACGGCTTCACTTTTAGGACGTTATGAGCAATCCAGTTCTCTATTATAGATCCGTGGTTAAGCCCACATCCTCTCATTTACAGTTCCAGAATGCCCATAAACAACACAACAACCGCTCACATGAACCCAAAGCTCTCCACTAGATTTACTGAAGGTACAGAATGTTTATCCCAGGAAATCAACCCAGGCTCACTGGAAAAACGTGACACTGGCGACATTCTTGCAAAATGATATTACATTGCTTCTTGCACGTTTTACGAAAATTTTAAAGTTAAATGTCCAATGAGTGGGGCTAAAGGCGTGTTCAGTTACATCCAAAACAAATTAAAGTGAATCTGGCAGTTCAGAAATTAAAAGTTTGGTGAGTGGAGCTAAAAGGCTTATGCTCTATCACATTTGAAATTAACATACAACCTATGCTAAACCCCACTCTAAACCTAATCAATATTGTTAACATAAGTAATAATGAGATAAAAATACATTTGCTGAAGCAACAATGCCATTTTACCTTGCTTTAACAAGTCTTTGTGCTCTTTTATCATGACTTGTAATGATCATCAGGTGAGCTACTGAGCAGGTTTACTACGTCAGAAAAACCATTAATATAGAGTTGGTATGTGATGCAAACATCAGAATGATAGAAGTGTTTTGAGGTCATAACAGTATAGTGCAAGGAACACAATAAATTTCCCTGTAATCATAATTTGTGTGAAAAGGAATAAAAGTAGCTGGTGTTTTACTGTAAGTAGTGTTCATTTCAGCTGGAAAATGTAGTGAATTGTATGTAGTTTTGCAAAAATGTAGTTTTCAATGAGCATATGTTGCAGGAAATCTATCTGTGAAAAGTTAATTGTTTAACAAAGAACACTGCATGGGTTAACCCAACTTTAAACTGCTTTTGCAATGCAAGTCCTTATACTATGCTGATAAAGCTACTTAAATCAGAGTCTTTATGAGTAGGGTTGGGTATGAAACCCGGTGCCATTTATGACTGGTATGTACCGGACCGAATCAGAACGCAGATTTCAGTGCCACTTGATTGAAATACTTGCCCTATGGTGCTCCGAAACAAACGTATTAAGCATCATCACCGCACATGATCGCCAGTTAAATTATACTGCGTTCATGTGACACCATTCAGGTGTAAGAATAATCTGAAAAAATCATTTCCCGAATGAGAAAATTCACATGAATGCAAATCGGAAAGCTCCAAAACATCTTTGTTGTAACATTAGTGTCCATGTTGTATACACATTCCGACTTAAAAGCACAACTCACGAAATAAGAGCATCCGAGGAGTGCGTGAATGCAGCTATTGCACTCACTCTGATGGCAGCAGGTGGCCTACCGTTAGCTACATTACACGTGCTTAAAGGGGTAATATGATGCGATTTCAATTTTTCCTTTCTCTTTGGAGCAAAGACTAAAGTCTCAAATCCAATGAGATATTCTTTATAAAATTTAAGAGTCAACCATGCCTACCTAAAACGGCTCGTTCTAACACGCCCCCACATGTCTACGTCACGATGTGGGAAGATTTGCATAACGCCGCCCAAATGTTCACGCAAAGAAAGAAGGCAGAACAGCTGAGGAAATACATCAACTTCGCGCTGTGGATCACCGGATCGGCTTTCACCATGGACAGAGCGGAGTCTAGCCCGGGGTCATCACATGTGGTTGCCACAAGCCCACCGGACGCTCCTTCATCGAATCCGCCGGCCGCGCCGTTAAACCGCATAAACACATTTCATTACACCAAATACACAAAATAATGTTATTTTTAGCAGCATCATATGACCACTTTAAATTAAACACCTAAAGCTAAACTCCCTTATTGACTTGCAATAAGAAGCATTTCTAAACCTGTTGTCCAACAAAAGAGAACAGTATTATTAGAGAGCATTATTATGTTTTTACTCCACATCATCAGTCAAATGCTTCCTTTTGTGATCTGATGTGGCGTCTTATCACAGAATGAGGCAGAAAATATATTCTATACTGTAATAAAAGCTATGTCAATTAGCAATGGATTATAAATATACTTAATTATGATGAAAATACCAGAGATGCCTTGAAGAACAGATAAACTATACATTGTCGCAGTCAAGTGTTTATTGTCTTCATGTTTCATCATTCAAAACATTTCCATCTTCTTTTTACTCAGCTACAGCGATAGCAGGGTTGGCAGGTTTTCACAACAAAACCCACCCAATTGCTACTCAAAACTAGCCCAATCGCATTCCGGGGGGTAAAATACATGTAAAATACACGTTTTTGGCAGGGCTCCCCTGGTAAAATTCGCATGCCAGGGTCTAAATATCACGTTATCAGGGTCGCTTCAACCCACGGACATGAAAAACAACCCACGGCAACAGTGTCAAAGTGTTAAAACTGCGGACTTGGCAATGGTTAAAGTGTTAAAACTGCGAACTTGCAACACCGAGCGATTGCGGTGTCTATATTAGTGATTTCCTGGAGCGTCATGAGTTCTATTACTTCGGTGATGCATATGTGGAGTTTCTGTGCGAGGCCGCCCTCTGATGTCCAGTATGAATGAAACGGACATTAAATGTGTTCATAGCGCTCAATAATATCCAATCCATCCTATTTTGGGTAAAAATAGGAAAAATAATACTTTTCTCTCAAAAGAAATTTGAAGTAGATATATGATAATCCATGCTTTTCTCCAGTGTACAGGAGTTTTAAATAACATTTTAAATAGCAAATTACAGAACAGTGAGGTAACTGTATTGTTGCATCCCTACCAAGAATACTGACTACTTTGCTGTTATTAGTACTGTAACAGTTATTTAGTGTTAAATTATTGTGGTTGGGTTAGGTGGCTTAGGTTTTATTGTGAATTTATTATGTAAATGTGATGTGTTTTGTATTTACTTATATTTATATATTTCCGTATAATTTAAACTTTTAATATATTATTCAATTTAAAGTTTGTTTTTTTTTTTCAATAAAAAAGCCGTTCTTTAATGTCATACACTGTCATTTTGTGTCGGTTCAGGCACCGGTACCGTTTTAAAAGTATTGACTTGGCATCGGTATTATAAAAATCCCAAACGATACCCAACCCTAATTAAAAGTGCAATGTACTGTATAATGTTGATGACACAAAATGTTGATGACACTAAAAGAGTTTGCAAAACTAATCATTGTTTGCTAACACACAGAAGCCCAAAGAGATCATTCATCATTATTATTTTAATGTATTTTTTGTTGAGATCAAGGAAGGTTGTGTATATTTAATTCTCCCTAGTTTGACATGATAACTGATTCATTCTTTCCTGTGTGATTTCTAAAAACTGATTGGAATTTTCATTATCGATTAGCTGAAACACTCTTTCCTCATCAGTTCACAAAACCCACACACAAAAAAAACACTTTCATTTTATTACAGAATGCTTCTTTAATTATTACTTGAAATCAGGATTTAATTAAGAAATTATTTATTGTCTTTTTTTAGTTTTTCTGTTGCATCTAAATTGGTATAAAGAATCAACAAATATTACTGGCATTAGCATTGACTTCTGAAATGATGATATTGTGACAACCCTATTTTCAGCCAAATCATCTCTTTGATAAAATATACTCATAATTAACTCATAGAATAAGATTTTGGTCATACCGACTGCACCTAGTGTGTATGGGTGCCATTCACACAAACTGCATAAACTAATAATGACAGCCTTTTTTTAGGAACTTTATTAACTGTAACACTATAAATTCACATAATTTTTGTGAATATCGACTGCTAAGTTCTGATAAGTGCTTTATCCCTAATTATTTTAAGTAAAAACTTAAATATGAAATATGATTTCTGTGAAAACATACATATTAGGAAATAAGAAGCGGAAAGGAGCCATGTGAAGTGACAAAAAAAAAAAGATTAGAGAAGAAGAGAGGAGAAGATAATGTGAAGTGAGACAAGACAAAAAGATGTGAAAAGAGCCGGACAGTGTGGAAATGAGACAACAGGAGACATGAGGAGAGAACCAGAGAAACAGGAGATGAGAGGAGACAAAAAAGAGAAATGAGAAGCGGATGAGAGGAGAGGAGGTTAATGAGTTTCTGAGGAAGACAAGTGAGCTGCTTTATTAAGGGAATGATTGTAATAAGAGATGGGAAGGAAGCAAGAGAAATGATGAAAGGGCAGATGTAAAAAGACAGAGGGCAGAGAGTCTGCAGAAATGGAGGTATATTTTATATTTTAGGAAGAGAGAGAAAGAAAGACTGAGAGCGAGTGTGAGAGAGGTGGAGACTTCAAGATTGTGGATGTTCCATTTACTGAAATTGATATGAAGAGTCCATGTTGAACCACAATTCCATTACACTGGATTCATATAATTGCTTCATTTAACTGTGTAGACTGGCAGAAAAAAATAATACTCTATGTTTGTGGTCAACCAATATAGTTTTTTTTTTTGATGGCCGATGCAGATGATAAAAAAAAATACACTGTTAAAACATGAATAACAGGTAATAAAAGTAAACTGAAACCAGGGGCTGGTTGCATAAACTGTTTAGACTAGTTTTAAAAAGTTAGTCAACTAATATTCAAGATAGGGCTGGGCGATATAGCTAAAAAAATTATCAACGATATAATGTTTCATATCGTTCGGTATCAATAATTATTGACATTTTTTATAACCTTTTTTAAAACAAAGAGCAATAGAATTATTTTTTTTTTATTTAACCACTGTATTTTTAAATTAAGCCAAATTATTGAGACAAACAACAAATATTTTTTTGTTTTAACAGTCAAACACACAATAAAAATTCAACAAATATCTTATTTCTAATGTTTTATATGCAGATTAAATAGGTTTTAAGGAATCTTTTGTCTTGTCTCCTGAGGCCACATGAGGGCGCAATGAGCAAAATAATGCAGCACATTTAAATTGTCAACGCAAGGACATAAGTCTATAAAAAAAACCTGTATTACGTCTACATTAACTCATATAAATCAAATATAATTTCGCAAATTGCATAAACAATTATGAACAACATTTTTGCATTTGATTGCATTTAAAAACATGAGACGCAGTGAAAAGGAATAAACCTCCACAAATTC